TTTTTAATTCTATCTCTCTACTGTCTCACAGTGTGCAATATTCCACACTACTACAGCTGACACAATATGCTCAAGTAAACCAGTCTCGCTAGGGCATCAGACAGCCACAGAGATATCCCAGTCAGTCATTTTCCTTCTCCTTGGCACTTCTGAAGAACTGAATGCACTTTTTACCTGCTATTTCCAACAAGTGAGTAAGAAACAGCTTAGGAGCTTCAGGTCAAATTAAGGAAGAAGGTATGCACACACACAGCAGACACATTCCACAATGGTATACAGGTATTACAGCTAACCAACTGGGAACCCAGAATGATTTAGCACAACAGAAGTTCATCATCATTAATGTCTCATGTAATTTAAAGATGTGATTAAAAAGATTTTTTAACGTCCCCGAAGCAAAGATTTATGGCTCAGTGGTTCTGCAGCTGACACATGTGATGACACATCTGTCATTTCTTTCTGATAACCTTCTACGTGATCCTACAGATAAAGAAGCAATCAACTTAGAGAGTTAGACTTCCTCCTGTGACAGGGACCATCCTTTGTCTTGACAATTCAAGCTTTCTGCCTGAACCTTTTAGTCCTTCTGCCTTAACACAATATATAGAGAAAATTCTGTTCCAAGGAAAATATTTAGGTCATTCTTGTGCACAAAAAGCTGAACAGCCGAATGACTGCACTTTTAAAATTTACAGCCAAGTGGTCTGCTTTGCCTTGGGAAGTTCTGGTTCCTTTCCATGCATGCTGCAGAGGGTGAAAAGATACTTAATGGGTTTTAAAAAACTGCAATAATTTAAGCAGTGGTGAGTAATGTGGATGAATTTAATACAGGGAATATACAATTAGCTCTTAGTGGGGAAATCTGTTATTAAACAGAACTATATGAAACAAAAGGTTAGGCCACCAATGTGACTAAGAAAGCAACAAAGAAGCGACAGCACTGGCTATGGAAAATGGAAGAGGACTGATCCAACCAAATACAAATGTTTATATTTGATGGCAGGCACTCTGGAAACAATTTATGAACAAGGCCACATACTTTTAAGGTGCAATTCACTTAACCAGGGCCTCCCTGAAGATCAGCTGTTTTTCCGTGTTTATGTCTACTGTGGGAATTTACAGGAGTAGCTCCATTAGAGGAGTCTGCCTTATAAACCTCAACATGCAGGCGAGATGAGAGACTGGATGGAGACTGAAGGGCTAGGAACTGATTCCTTTTGGCTGCACCCTCTCCATTAGCAGAACAACGTTTATCACAGCTCTTTTCTCCAGTGCTAGTGCTGGGAGACTGCAGCCTGAGCCTTGTACTGCCCACTGCCATGCACACGTACACCAACAGATGCACCGCCCAGGCACTCCCAAACCAGAATGATACATAAGGATCTATCAGCCCCTTCCAACAATGGATATGGTTAATATGAAGATTTTTCCTTGGCAATTATAAAGAATAACTACAGGTAGAGAAAAAGGTTAGGCTTACCTGAAGAGATCCCCATCCTGACTTCAATTCAGTTTCTTTTGAAAAGCACACAAAGGACCAGGCAGTCAAGAGGAGCTCAAACAGCTAATTATTAGGACAAAATAATTTGGTAGTGTTCTAATTTTTCATTTGAAAAACGTGATTAACTTTCAAGGAACTCCAGCAAGTGCACATACTGGGGAACTGAAGGGAAAGGTGGAAAGGTGCATGGCCTAGATCACCAGCACAGATTAACTGTCATCAGGAGAAAAACCCACATTTAATTTCCCCTCTTTCATCATCTGCTTCTCCCTTGAAAAATCTCAATGCTTTACAGTAATAAAAATTTCACCAAGAGTAACTCTAACAAAAGAAGATATTAAATTAGTAGACTGTCAGCCAGGACAATCACGGTCTATTAAGATAAACTTATTCTGTGGATATCTAGATAGATTTCTCTCTGTATGTCCATTTAAATGAATTATTTGCATGGCACATGCTCTTAAGTCTTTCTAAAAGAAACAAGGAAAATAAAATACAACATTGTCACAGCCTAATGGTCCCTCCTGCCAGACAGACAATAGGAGAGAAAAAACCACTGAAAAATGAATGTTGAGTTGATTATTACCAAGCTTATTTTCAAAGTGGGAGGCAATTAGACCATGGAAACATTCTCTTCCATTATCTCTATTTTACCAGAGGAAGATAAAGTACATAAATATAAGGATGGATGGTAATTGTTGATGCACAGTGACAGCTACTCCTTATCTCACATCGAAGAACTGTGTTCCATCAGCCCAGCTGTTACACACAGACTGGCAAGTCTCTCACAGGTACTTATTCAAAGAATCTCAACCACTGTTTCAAGTTGTTGGGGTCCTCCTTGTTTTGTTTGTAATTGAAGAAGCTGTGGTGAAACTAGAATAAACTTAATCTGCTGTTTAACAAAACAAAGCATTTACAACAGAATTTAGGTGGATAAACGAAGTTTGTAAAACATTTTCAGAAGGACTCTTTACACTTGTGTTCCTGACACTACAGGTACTCCAGCTGAAGTAGCACCACTTTGCCTCCTCTTTAGAGGTACAGAAGACACTCATTTTGGAAAGCCTGCTTTTAATCTGACTTCTTATGAGCTCAATATATAACACTGCTAAAATATTACCACTAAACCTTATAATAGTAATTTTTTTATGTACTTAACTCCAATTCACATAGTTTAAAGGAGAGAGGAGTTAAGCTTTAATGGGTTAAGCCCTCACATATTAATTATCCTGGCCACTCTGGAAATCTATTTTAGTTATCTAAAGAAGAAATTCCTTTGAAACCATGATCTTACATGCAGTCAGGATCTCTCTCCTTGGAGAGAGATCTCACCTCTCTCCAGGTGCACTCAAAAGGCACCTGGCCATGGCCCAGCTTGAGCAGGGGGTTTAGAGCAGATGACCACCTGAGTTTTGCTACTGGTTCTGCATTAACCATCCAGTTTCTGAACTCCATCCTATCCACAGAGCAGCCAGAACCAACCCTAGAGGTCTTGTGGCTCTTGGGAGACTCCTGAAGTTTCAGATTGATTAGCATTAATAGAATACTGGTAGAAACACTCACCTGACTCTCCCCCAGCTCACAGCCCTAGCAGCTGTTGAGTATACCCAGAAAATATTATCAAGGAGATATGTCAAACAAAATTAAATCACAAAAGACAATCCTCCTTAATTCTGTAGTGCCAGTAGTTAAAATGTAAGCTTGGTGGAAATGAGCAAATCTCGAGTACTGAAAGGATACAAAGTCTACATTTAGAACCTCTTTTCACACTAGTAGCACCCAATTCTCCATCACAGTCACTGCAGCAAAACTCAGTAAAACTCCTGTTTAATGAGATGTCATTTATCTGCAAATACACTTTACAATCATGTATTTCCAACTACTGCAAATTGATTTTGTTTCCTTCCTTCCACACGTCATTGTGCCACCAAGGATAACTCCTTTGATATTAATAGTAATGAAGATGCATTGCATCTGACAGCCCTAACAACATGTTTAATACAACATTTTAACTACAAGTAGATGAAGAATCCGAAGGGAACACTTTTTTTAGGTTCCATTGTTTCAGAACACAGTCCTGTATAAAAGAAATTATCCTACTTAAAAGTTATTTCCACTTTGATATAACTTCTATTTAACTTGACAGTTTTATTTTGGCAAGATTGCTTTCTGACATACTGCAAATTATTTTCCCAAACAATATGGTTTATCCTTCTGTACCTGCTGTAATCAAATTTGTCTCAATAGTCTCCTGTTTCTGGTATATAACTCTGGCAATTTAATACCCTAACTTATTTTAAAATGACAACCCTAAGGTGTCACTTACAAAGAGAAACAATACAAAACATCCTGTCTCCGACTGCTGCTGCACAACACAGTGATGGATTTATTCAGGCTTTGTTTCACTCACTTTGTTACCAGAAAGTGGTGCTGCTGGAGAACAACACACGCTCTGCCAGAGATGTTTGTCAGATCTGACCCTTTTCCTGCAACCTGAGTTTGCATTTAGCAGACTCTCCAAGCATGCTCCCTTATCTAATTCAAACGCTGCCATTGTACTCTCCACAGGAAAACCATTTAGGAAGCTTCACCTTGATTTCTGTTCTCTCCCACCTGATTTGTTTGCCTAAGGAAAGCACCAACTCAACAAGGAGGCAAATCTCATTTACAATTGCATGTACAGAGGATGTTTCGGAAAAGAGCGTATGCCGCAATTTTAAAGCAAATTAAAAGTTGAACTGCAGGGTCGAGCCTTTTGTTTAAGGAAGCACTGTATGCAGAGCTGCTGTAGCTTGACATGTATAGTAACACTGAAAAAACCCAAAAACATGGTTAAAAATGAAACAAAAATAACCCACTGCACGCGGTGCTGTCCTCGTCTTTCCTTCTTGCAGTTCCTCATTCCACTAACCAAGTTCTAAGAAAACATTCTCCCTTATTTTTAGCACAAATAGGGCAACAATCACTATGATACAGATTATTGGCTTCTAGACCAAGTTAAGAAAGGCGACCACCTACTACCTGATTTGGGACAACACTCCCCCCAAAAAGCACAGCAGAAATACTTACAGGAAGAAATAATGTTAAGATGTTAGCGCTACTGACCAACAACTATCACCTCACTTGAACAGCACAAGAGAGTGGAAAAGGACCTTCAGGAATGCACAACTCTAAACATAAAAATGGAAATTGTCAAGTCATTTAGTGACAGAATGAGCATTTAAGACCATGAATAACACAAACCCTCCTTGCAAGCAAGTGCCATAAAACAGAGATGAAGAGGTGAAATGCTGCAAGCAACTCCTGACATCCCAAACTATTTCAAACAGCCAGTAACCCTGTCCACTCTTCAAAGTTTATGCTGACATTTATTGTTGCTGACTGCATTTACCTCCTGCTTGTAAAACTCTCAACACGTGCATTAAATGTGAACAGCTCCAGGGTGGAGCCCTGAAGTTCCAAGTATGAACAACTACCCACTTTCAGATTAAAAAAATCACGTTGCTGTAATGACCATTATTTTGTGCACATACTTTACCTGCACATCGTTGGTGTTCATCCTTGTTCCATCCTTGCCAACGAAGATATCGTCTATGTCAACCAGAATGTACCTATCCAAGGACAGTGTGAGCTTCTTTCCAGAGAGGAAAGAGATGGCATCTATGAAAATCAGCTTGTGCAGCCAAAAATTCAAGTTATTGCCGAAAAGGACTCGTTGAATCCCATCGTGGAGCCCCAAGTCATGAATTACTGTGGCATAGAGAGCAGCAGGTAGAGAAAGGTTTTCTGGCGTCTTTACTTTTGCAAATATCACTGGTTGATAAGTTGTGTGATTAATCTGGAAAACAGCCCAGTCATTTCCAAGCAAGGGCCTCTTCTCAAGCTTAGAAGGTTTAGTCACATGGAGCAGTGGGGAATGAGGGTTAATGCAACAGTCCTTAATACCCAGATTGCTGTGGACATGGAAAGGAAAACCCTTCCACTGAAAGCTCTGCAAGCTGTTCTCACTGCCTTTGTGAAATGCGATCACACCCACACCATACTCTATGCAGTACTTATCTAGAAGGCCTCTGTTCCACGAGTCCATGTTCACGTACTTAAGGATATTCTCATACACTATGAGAGCGTACTTGCCTTTGTTCTTGTCTATAAGCACTGGGAGGTCACCTTTCCCAGATGCAACCTCAGTGTGAAACTGAAACCTGCTAGATTCCAGAATGGTTACGATATCTTGGCCTAATGCTGAGTACTGGCTTTCCACAAACACCAGCACTACAAGATCTGTCCTCAGGGGATCAACAGGCCTCGTGGTCTTCGCCTCCATCAGCTTGTAAGGCAACAGTTGAGCATCACCACATTCCACTTCTGAAGAGGTTTCAGGGAGTTCATTTTCCTGTTTGTAGCCATTATACGAGTAGTAGGCAGAAATAACTATGCTCACCATACAAAAAGTGGCCAGCAAAATTACTGTTCTTTGAAAATGTCTGTGAAGTTTCAGGATAAAACTCATGGTGTTTACTTGCCTTAGACAGCTCTCAACAGCAGCATGAAAAACAAACACAGATTCCCAACAACTTGTTCCAGTCCTCTGAAATATTTATGTCACCATTGCAGCACACACATCTATCTTCCACAGAGCTTTACTGAAGGTACAGTCTAGAAGAAAAGAAAATCAGAGATTTAAATGAGACACCACCTTGTGAAGAATCACCTGCTTAAACTAATGGGGAGCAAAGAAATCACTGCCAGCCAGAGGTTTGGAGACCAATGGCTCAACATTTTGCAATAACATTTTTTTCTGCTCCCACTACTTGCCATGTGCATTTGAAGGTCTCTAAATCTCACAGGTTCCTCAACTCAGAGGATCAAATAAAGCAGGCAGAGGCACTGAAAAGCAAGACATAAAAGGAAAGTATTTACAGTGTTTTAGAAATTCTTTTAACCTAAAGATAAAAGTTAACTCCAAGTAGACAACTGCTAACAACCAAAGTACTGAAGAAAATTTATAACCTGTAAAAAGCTGGGGCAACATGATTCAACAAATTCTATCTTGTATTAGTTTTTCAAAGAAGCAAGAACATGCACATCTTAACTGCTGTACAAACATGTACTGATACACTCTGTATTACATCTATTAGAGGAATTTTTTTAAGCAAAACTTGCTTCCTGCAACATTAGAGGAAAACAAAGCATTTTTCTGGACTGTGGATTTGTAAGCTGTTAGAAGCATTTCTTTGTATTAAAAAAACCCATAAAACAATCAAGCTCTTACATTTGAGAAGAGAAATTAATAAATCAAAAGTTGAACCTAACATGCAGATCACCTAAGGATATACTTATGTTCTATCTTGTAGTTAAGGAAAGAGCAATTTTTCAAACCAGCAGTACAACTGCTGTCAAAACTCCCTAGTAAAACAACTGGCTGGTGTGACAAGCATAAAATAATGACCATAAGTCATAAACAAAGATTCAAAGCAGATTTTGAAAAATATTTAGTGTGTCAAGATCTAGAACATGCCACTGTAACTTCAGTGTAGTTTGCACCCAGGCCCGTTTGGAAATGGGATTAGGATAAAGTGTGGCATTGATGTGGTCATTTCCATACTGAGAGGTTAATCCTTCCATTCCTGGTTGGGTTTTTTTTTAATCCTACATTGTAAGCAAATTGGTCTTTCACTCCAGATTTTCAAAAAGGCTAAAAAAAGTTATATACTTAACAATACCCATGTAACGTCCAGAAATTTAATTAAACCCTGAAGACAGATCTTCCTAGTGTCATGATGAGCATAAAGTAATAATAAACGAGAAAAATCAGATGAAGGGAGAAAAACTCCAAGTCATTCTATTCATCAAAACTGCAAAATTCAGCATGACCAGCAAGTGCCGAGAGCTGTCTCATTCATAGTTAAGATTCAGAGCAAGATTCCTTCTGTCTGGATAGATTCTGCTTTAGATGGATTTTAGTCTCCTCACCTTCTACTCACAGATAACTGTTTATCAACCCCTCCTCTTCTGGGAAGCCTTAAATTCAGCCTTGAACCTTCCCTGCAGCAGCACAAAGTCCTGCTCAAAGCTTTTGGGCAGGAGACCTGCCTTTCACCCAGGCTCACTAATTAGTGTTAGACCAAAATAACATAACTCCAACTTCCTGGGTTTTATCTTATGTATAAAGAGCAAGTAACGATATGAAGGAACCTTCAGAAGAACTCAACATTCTTAATAACTGCAACGTCCAATCCTTGCCACACTAGCTTCACGAATATCAGTCTGGATGGCATAACAGAGCTATTTAACATGGTAACAAGTCAGGTGACAAAGAGAAGCTTTATCCTGAATGAGTTAACACCAGAGAGAGGTTTCCAGACAGATGATTTTTCATTACACACACGAAGGGTTCTCTTCATTTCGCATTTCCAATTCAGCTGCCTGAACGCCAAGAAACACATAATTTTAGTGCCTAAACTTAACACTGACTGCATTCTGTAGAAAAGCTGTACACACACCTATTTCTCTTTGATAACCACAGATCTGGCTGGTCTATGTACAGAAAAAATGAGAATTGACACTGACCTAAGCTCATAGCAAGGAAGGGCTGATGAGACAGAGCTGTTTGAACAGGATATTTCACAAGGGTTGCAACCCAAGAAACATTTGCAGCAAGGACACGGTTCCTAATGCCATTCCTTAGAGAGGAAAATCTGGAGCCAGCCCAGACACCCGTGTTTTCTTCAAGAAAAGCCCTGTCATTGTATCCTGGCTCCTAATTGCAGGTGCCCCCTGGGGCTACAGAGTGCAGCTGTAAGGAGGAGTGGCTGGACCTGCCAAGACAGATGTGAGGTTCGACTGTGAGGAGTGAGGAATTCTCTGAGGCACAGGACACAGCCAGACTTGGCACACTCCCTGCTGAAGGCAGGCAGCAATTGGGATGCAACAGAGCAAGGAACGAGGTTTAAATGCACACTCTCACACTCTCTAGTATCAGCTTGAGGCTTAGGTAATTTTCACTTGCTTAAGGACTGGTTTGCATGGCAGGAGTTCCAAAGAACACAGAAAGAAGAAAACAAAAATGTCAAAGAGAACATGCATTTTGCAATATCAACAGTCTCAAAGTCTTGACCAGGTACAGTTGCTTTCCTCGAGGGACAGCAGCATTTTCCCCTGAGCAATAATCCTTGCTGGATACTCTAGTGCTGTATTACAGCAGCATGCTAAAACAACTCACAACGCACCCCCTTGACAGTGACATCCTTGGGATTCACCACACCACACACTGGGGGACCTATGGAGATCATGACAGTGACCTTTACCACATCTCTAGAAGTGGCTTCAGGGAAGATGCTCCCTGCTTGCTCTCATTTCCTACAGTACAACCAGACAAAAAGTGCAATTCTCAATGCACCTACAGTGAGTAAGCTGTGAGAAGCAGCATTTCAGAAGAGGAGTGCTTGAGGAGTCTTCCTTTCATGACCAAAGAATGCAATATTTACCAAAGAAAGGAGAAGTCGTGATAACATCAACATCAATAAAAAATATCTAAGTATAAGAAAAAGGCTTAAATTAAAAAAAAAAAAAACAGAGTCTAGAAAGTCTTCACAAGAGTTCAAGCTTGTTAGCATTGTTTCAATGAAAAACACCCATAGATAGAGCTGACCATAGATAGAGCTGCCTGCATCAGCAGTCTCAGCTCTTTTTGATTTCTACAGTCATGTGGAATTCAGTGACAGAGGAATATGGTCCCACCTGTACCCCAAACCACTTCAAATCACCTGAAAACAGGAATCAGATTTAAATAAATCCAAAGTTCTGTAATGCTGATGTTGCAATAAATTTTACCTATAAAATAACTTGTGTGGTATTTTGCCATGGTTTGAAGCAATAAAATTTGCCTGTTTGTTTTTCTATCTAGAACTTTATTTCTTTAGAAGAACCTGCATTTCATCTCCTATTTTACATTTTCATGCCACTGTGTTAAAATTCAGACCAGGACCTTTTACCTCTACTGCTCAAAGCAGGAGGTATCAAAATGATCTCTTAAGGTGAAAATTAGCATCTTTGAATATTCAGAATTTGGTTTTTAACTTACAGACTCTCTATGGAGAAGATCTTGCTGAGAGAAAGCTGAGTCATGGAAGCAAGTTTTGCATTTTGTTATGAACACAGACAGAAAGGCTCAATGCTCTTGTCATCTGCTGCAGAAATGGTTTCTGCAGCCCAGAACCTGCTCATGTGAAAATCTCGCTGGTACAGGAAAGAAATATCACCTTGTTAAGCAGCAGATTTACCATTCCGAACATACTGCTGGGCAGTCACAATTACAGGCATCTGCAGGCAGCCAGCATGAAACAGATGCATTTGAATAGGGATCTTCAATTTGGATTGGTTTGGGGGGTTTATAACTTGTTCTGTTTGCGGTTTCAGGGTTTTTAAATTCACTACCAAAGTAGCACTGATGATAGAACAAATACTGTGAGGAACCCCAAAGACCCAAAGGACACCATAAGCGAGTTCCTACCACTTGCAGCTTTCTTTAGTTTGTTGTTTCACTGCTAAGCATAAATGACCAAACTCTTGGCTTCTGTAAATCATTTCCCCCTGATAACCCTCATGGAAACTCTTCCACAAGACAATGCAGGTTGGAAATGCAGCCTACTAAATTCTTCACAGAGGTTCTCAATCCAGAAACTGCACAGGCACATAAAACTGCACACAATCTTAAAAAATGTCTGATAAAGTTGAATCATGAGTATCAACACAATTTTTAAAATGACAAGCAACTTTCTTCTGCTGTCCTAATATCAAGATTAAAACAATGGGCTCAACTAAAATACCCATAAATAAGCAAGAAATTGTTCTCAATTTATCAGATCAAATTTATCAAAGCCCAGTAAGAAAACACTGGTTTAGTCTTACCTCAGGCCTGTGCTAGGGCAACTGTTTACTGCGACCCTTGATTAGAAACAATAAAGTTGGGTCATACTTAAAGGTAAAAAACATACTCTTAAAGGGTAACAAAAACCCTTTTCATCAAGAACTACTAAAAAGTTCTGGACTGAGTAGTCATCAGTATTATTGAGGTATACTACATTTATCTAGAGACATATTTTTAATAACTTTCTTCTAATAATCCCCATCACTATATTCCCATTCTGTTCTTTACCAGCCTGGACACTACCACAGTGCTGGTGACATGCTGGGGATGCATTACATGGAAAATGAGTTTTAAATGCTTTAAACAAAGAGCAGAAAAAAAGGAGGCATATTGTTTAGCATATTACTACAGACATTTAAATCTCTACTGATTAGAATGCTGCGTAACTGCTCTAAACATAAAGGTCTGCTCTGGCCACTCACTATGAAATACAACTTCACAGGAAATATTCTGAAATCATTTTAGTGTTACTAAATCGGAAATCTTTGGATATACAAAGGATATGGTAGGAAGCAGCAAAGCACAACCGAACACAACCAAACCTGGGGTAAAGAGCAAGGCTCAGACTTTTAAATCAGTTATGAAAACACCAAAATAACCTCTGAGTACCCCTACTTACAACATTACTCCACTGACTAAAATATTCAAGCATTAACAGCTCAAATGAGTAAATCCAGGCTGAGAATGAGACCTTACAACTGCATATCAAAAAGATTTTCAACTCGTAAAAAGGTGATATGAGACATGAGCTGTCAAGGGAAGCCTTTGAAACCCTTTAGTATCACATAACAAACCCTGGAATGTGTGATTATTGAAAGGTTTACACTCCCTCACAGCTGTTAGAAAAAAAGGGAACGGTTCAGGCAGCACAGCAATTCTGATGGATAGAAATTCTTTTTCAAGTCCTTCAGGTAAGCAGTTTGTAGTTTCTACTGTACCTGTGGTATCCTAAGCTCCATGCTGCATTGCTTAATGCAGTACTAGAGACCCTTACAGGATAGGGATTCAAGCATTACAGTTTGTCAAGGAAAAATATTTATAAATATTAAATATACAACGTTTAAAATAGTTTAAAAGAAGGTTGTAAAGACTTCAACAGAACACAAAAGTTTAGTTTAGTCTTCAAATTACTCTGCCTTCATACAACACTTTGTATAGAAATATCTTAAAGCTCTTGACATCACACAATTTTTCTGAGATAAACGCTGTTACTTTTCAGCAATTGCAAAAACATCACTATCTAAAGAGTAAATGATTTGCTCAAGGTCTCTGAGATAAATGTCCAGCACACCGTCTGGTCCATGACCATACCATTACTTCCCCTCTCCTTTCTCCCACAACTGCCAAGTGTAAAGAGTTAATAATAAGGCAGAGTTCAGAACCATTTCTTCCATGACACCTGACTGGGGATGCTGACAGTGAGAGAAACCCTCTTTCTTTCACTTGCCATTCCATTAGGAAGAGAAAACCCCACCACACCAAAACCTGAAGCAATTATCCAGCGTATCAGGCATCGAATTGAGTAATATACAAGTTTTCTGCCATTTCCCGAGGGCTGCACATGACAGCTGAACCGAGCAGCAGCACACATGAATTTCTGACAGGATTTGGGGAATCCAAGCAGCTACAACCACCCTAAGTTATGAATAATTACTGCACTAGGCTGACTAATTTTGTGCCCCAACAGAGCCATAACCAATTCCCGCAGACACTAGAGGGCAACAGCATCCCGCTGAACAGCTCCGCGAGGAGAGCGAACGGGAAAAGCCCAGCCCCTGAAGGGCTGCTGCGGGGACCGCGCCAGGCAGATGCTCAGTGCGCCGGGAAACAAGAAAAACAAACCCAAACCCCAAGAAAGCCCACAGAACAACCCCGCAAACGCCGCCTCGGCAGCGGGAGGCTGTGGCGGCAGCCGCCCCGTCCCGCCGCGCTCCCGGCCCGGGCGGTGCCTGCATTGGAGCGGGAGCCTGCGGGCGGCTCGGGCACAACTTTGCCGGGGGCACGGAGCCGGCGGGCGCGGAGCTGAGCGGCTTCGCCGCGCCGGGCCCGCGGGCACCGCCCGCCCCGCTCGTTACCTCCGGGCGCGCTCCGCCGGCATGTCCCCGCGAGGTGCCTCAGATCCCGCCGCCGTCTGTGCCCTCCGCAGAGCCTGCTCCGGGAGAGGCGCCGGGGCACGGAGCCGCCCGGGGCGCGGAGGTGCAGCGGGGCTGCCGCCGGGGGTGCAGCACCGCCCGGCAGCCTCGCCGCGCCCTCCCGGAGGAGGAGCCGCGCTCGCCTGCGAGGGGCGGGCGGGGGCTCCGCCGCGCCGCCTCCCACATCGCCCGCCCTCCTCCGGGGCTCGGCCGGGCCGGGGGCGGCTGCGGCCCCGCGCCCTCAGGCTGCGCCCGCACGCAGCGGCCCAAGGCGCCCGCCCCTCACGGCACCTGCGGCGCCCCCCTCCCACACGGGGGCCGCCGCCGCCTCACTTGTGGGATTCTTAGTCCCTGTCTTAAATAAAGTATGAGTAAAAAAAAAAAAAAAATTTCTTTTTTCTCCTCCAAAACCAATTTAGGAAGCCCCTCCTGCAGTCGCGCTGAGGCGAAGTTTAACTTACACCCTCCCGCCAAATCTCTCGCTGTCGGTGCAGCTTCAGGTATGGCCGATTTCTGAGCCGCTCTAAAGGTAGCACACAGGGGTGGAAATTCCGTGAGGTCAATTACATTTTGTCAAGACAATGTAGGGTTAAAATCTTGAGAGAATGCCAGTTAATGTGTTTGCAGCCTCGCTGCTTTTCTTTATTGAATTTTCTAACCCTATGTTAAACACAGTTAGTCCCACTGACACCCTGCTTCCCTCGCTCTGAAGATGGAACTGCTCCCTTACTACAGGTGAAGGAGTTACGATTCCCTGTGTGAACTGCATTAGCTTTCACAAATGGGAAATAAAATGAATAAATTTTACAAGTGCCCTCTTGATCTAGCTAATTTACCTCACAATTGCCCAGTGATTGTTAGCTCACCTAATGGCTGACAGTTCAATACATCGGATTAACTCCATCACTGACGCTTGTCTGTCCAAACCTTCCTCTCTGTGACTAACTCAAGGCAAAAACTTAAAGGAAAAAAGCTACAGCCACCTGAATGTTGCTTTTCCAAACATCAGGAGAATTTACAGCTCTTAATTCAGGAATACTGTTATTTACTTTCTCCTCTTTTACTCCCTTTTATTCTCATGACACACTAAATACCCCAAATTTTACTGTCTTCTAGACTACAAAACAGTACAAGTTTTATTTATATAAATATATTTATTTATCCTCTTTTATTTATGTGCTTGCTGTCTTGTCACTTGTACTGTTGTTCATATATGCCAGTTCTCTCACTTGCCTTTTTCACAGTGTAAGGTTGTTGTCATATTCACTCCTGACTCATCACTTTCCACTTTAGCCCTGAGATCTTTCTCTGAATAATTACTGTGTAATTAATTGATCCCCTTCCATACTTGTGCAGTTGGGTATATCTGCCTGTGTGTAACACTTTCCCCTGTCCCTACTGCAAAGTCATTTTTCTTCCCCAGACCACCATTCAATCTATGTGAGACCTAACTGAATTTTAATCCCACTCCTCAAGATATTTACAGTCTCACCAAGTGTGTGACATCTGCCAATGTGATAATACACCTCCATTTTATTTTTGAACAGTGTTGGATTTATCAGAGAGAGAGTGAAATAAAGCAGACCAAACTGTAAGTTTTCCCTTTTTTAAAAACAGCAATCCATTTGCTCTTTTTCAGTCCTCCAGCATTTCATCTATCCTCCATAATTTTTCAAAGACCACTAAGCCCTCTGAGTCTATTTTAATCAGTTAAGTCCCCTAAGATGAATTAAGTTTATTAGCATGGATGATCTGAGAACATCTATGTTATTTCAGCACTATGTAACCTTTGCTATTCTTTTTACATAGCGAGACCTTATCCCTTTTTGCTGGTGTTAATTGTGTCTGCTTGCAGTTGATCTTTTCATGGAGGCTAATGCAAAAGAGGTATTAAATTGTTTTCACTATATCACAAATATATAGATTGTGATATTTCATTCAGCTCTTTGCTGAGCAGCAAATGAAAATTTTGCTTGGATTTGCTTTACATCAATGTAAATTCCTAGTAAAAGAATTTTACTGCCCTCTAAGGAGGGGCAGTAAAACTATACAGAAAACAGAGAACAGGAAGACATCTGTTCCAGGCCACCGCAGGCAGTGGTATCTTACAGTTGTTTTGTGTAGCCATCCCAGTAGTATCTGAATGTCATTAGATTGCTTGTTCCCATTCTTCTTGTTGAAAATTGTTTCAAAGCCTGATTGTGCTGATAGTCAGAACCTTCTTCTAAGTTTCAGCCAAAATTGAACCAATGGTGTCTCAAAACTGTCCTGTGCTTGATCCATTCATCCAAAACTTCCTCTTCTGAGACTGACAGATTAGGTTACTTGGGTTCTACCACCTAAGTAACCTTATCCCAGGACTTTTCTTTTAAAGGCACTCTTAGCTAAAGTACTGACAGTGAATTTTCACTAGCCATTGTGTGTAAAGTTTAACTTTTAACAATAAATGAATTATTAATGAATGCAATAGCATAACTTTTTAAACTAACGTGATTATTTTTCATGTGAATTTGGGAATTACAAATCTCCTTTATAAAGCCTTTTATGTGTCCAAGTCTTAGCTGGCTTTCATTAGTGATAAGCTTCTTAAAATCATAGTTTAACACTAAATTTTAATCTAACCCTAAGAGTATGTTGGCCAAAAAGTACAACTACTTCTAATGTAGAATGTTCAAGCTCAGTTCTTCACTGAGGACTTCATACTCTGAAGTGATTGGAAGATCAAGTTGGCCATCAAAAAGGAGCCTATACTACTAACAGCCTATACTAGACTAACAGGAGCTTTGCAATTTTATCAAGTGCTTCAAATTTCACTGATTGGTAGACTTGAGCATCTCAGTGAAGAACAGAACACTTTTACAAAAGCATTTCAAAAACTACACTTCAATCATGAAAATTAAGTTCAAGCTGACATACAGGGTTTCATAACAAAAAAAAATGGCTAACTCATACTATTACTTGCAGTGAAATTAAATTGACCTGTGTTACCAGTTTGTTCACTGCTGGGGTGAAACAGCATCATCTGTTCTACTATTTTCTTTTAACAGCTAAGAAGTCACTTGCAAAATAGTATTCTTTCCCAGGACATGAGTTGCTAGCAATTGGGGTGCAGGAATACATGTGCAAGGAAAAAGACAACAAGGCTCTCAAAGGATCTTTTTCTGAGATTTTGTGAGAACTGTGCAATTAAGCACATACTAAATGTTCATTTACTTCCACATCCTCAGCTCTTTCTGCCCTGTGACTCTGCTCTGAGTTGGGAAGGAGTCCCTGCCGCGTCCCTCCCCTGCTCTCTGCAGGCACCTAGACTGCAGTGGAGGGGCAGAATGTTGCCTTGAACTGGAGACAGATGCCTGCCATAGGGAGAGCAAAGAGCTTCCAGGCTTTGCAAGAGGCCCTGGGCAGCTCTGGCAGATGCTTTCAGTGACACTTTTTCCTTTTCCAGAGATGGCAAATTACGTTACCTTCTGAGGAGGGAGGACCAAAGACAGGCTTTTGTTTATTCTGTTTAGGCAGCAGAAAAAAAAAAAAAAGAAATGAAATTGCAGCTGACTCTTAAGATTACAGGGAAATCTTCTTTACTAGTAATTTCAGGTCGTTATATCTGCAAGTGGAATCATAAATCTAGCTGAAATAATTCCAGATAAAAGCAAAATTAATAGATTTATTTGAAAATCTAGGGACACTCCCTACTTTTCATTCTTTGAATCAGATCATCGAAGGTTCTATTCAGTTTCAGCTAATTGCGTGCGTACAGTACCGATAAAACTTCAAGTGATAATTTGTAAAAAGCACTTTCTATAAAAAAAATACTTGCTTGAAAAAATGATATTTATAAAACTCTAGTAACTCAGCCAAGTGGAAACAGATTAACAATACAAAAGGTAAGGAATTTTTCTAAATATGCATCAAATATGAAAACGTTTTTCTGCATTTTTCTAAAAATCCCTCTCTACTTCTACCAGCTGCAGGCATCATGTGGTTTAAGCGCCCCCTGTGAGACTTTCCCCAGTGTCTGTGAATGTGAGGCTTCTTCCAGTTGTTAGAGGAAGACCCCATCTACTTTTGTTTTCTGATCGTGGGTCTGTAGCAGATACCAACTAAAAGAGCAGACTGTATTGGTCTGCCCACTAATCTTCCCCCTTCATGTCTCTTGTGACTTCTGAGCCATCCCAAAGCAGAACTCCGTGCATTCCTGCTGCTCCCCATCACAAGGAGGGCAGCCCTGCCTCGTTGCCTTCCTGTACCACCCTTCCTACAGAGCTGCAGCACTCCAGTCCTGTCAGCCCTGCCACCATATCCTCTCAATCCCAGCAAGGTCACAGCCCTGCAGCTGCACACTGACTTCTGATTCTGGTTTGTTCCCCATGCTGCACACATCAGTGTACAAGCATTGCAGAGAAACATTACCCACACCCAAGGGTTCCAATTCCCCAGAGAAAGTTTGAGAGGTTTCCCCATTAGACTGTTGTGCAGGCATTTTGTTCTCTACTCATTGTTCATTGCTGGTTCAGATTTCCCAAGGTCTTTTATCATAGTAATTTTTCTTTAGATTGTCCGAGTGTGTCGCAGACATTTTTTCACAGAAATCCTTTCTTTCAGATTTCTGCATTTTCTGGGAAGCTGAGGGCCCCAGAAGAAGAATGTAAACAATTGTTATCAGCTGCTGTGGAATGTAACAGGGACACCTTGATTGGCTCATGTTTGTATGTTTATAATTGAGGGCCAATCACAAGAGCAAGCCAGGGGACCGAGTCCCTGGGCACAACTTTGTTTTGGATTCTTTCTTTCTTTTCTATTCTTGGCTTAGCAAGCATCTGCAACTTCTCTCTTTATTCTATTTAGTATAGTCATAATGTATTTTATATCATATATCAATAAATCCAGCCTTCTGATCAAGCAACAAGATTCACCGTCTCTCTCTCACCAGCAGCGACCCACTCAGGCGCTGTAACATCTGGTGACCCCTCGTGTCAGAGCAAAAATTAATTTGATAAGACCAGAGGAGCAAAATTGCTGCACTGGGTAAAAATCCTGTATGTGTAGCATTTGATGGTTGCTTTGAAGCGACCACAGAAGTGGATTCAAGCCAAGAAC